GGTGCTGCAGACGCAGCGGGGGTCCTGGGGAGGGGCGTGGTGCTCACCGCTGTGGCTGCGCATGTGGATCTCCAGGGAGCTGGCGCTGGGGCAGCTCTTGCGGCACTGGGGAAAGGGGCAGACGCGCTCGTTGGGGTAGGTCTCCTTGGGCTTGTCGGCGGCGGCCGCTGCGGCCGTGGAGCTGGTGGTCTGGCGGCTGGCGCAGTAGTAGAGCAGGTGGGCTTGCAGGTTTCTCTCGCTGCGGTACCAGATTCCACAGTCTTTGCAGGGGAAGACGTCTTCTGTGGGGTGAGAGAGAGGTGGGCACAGGCTGAGGGGGGCGCCCGCAACTCAGAGCAAGGCATGGAGCCTCCAGAAACGGAGGGCTTGGCGCCGAGGGCCCCCGACTTCCTGAGCAGTGAGGTTTGTGAATGGGGCCTTCCCTCCTGGTCACTGGGTTTTCTAGCTCTCCAGGATGCCCCAGGACTGCATGGATGGGGTCTCTAACCCCCCAGGCTGCCTCCCAACAGTGAACCCCCCCAAAGAGACGCCAGAGCCTCAGCAGGCGCCTGCGGAAGGGCTGTGGCTATGCCCACAGGCACCCGAGGGAGGGGGGCTGGCCACGTGCCGGTGATCGTGTGCTGTGAGGGGGGCTTGAGGGATGGCGTGGACCTGGGCCCCTGTGGGGGAGGAAACGTGCGTGTTCATGGGAGGTCTGAGCGGCCAGGTGCCCAGGGCACCCGTGAAGCACACGGACAGGAGGACGAGAGTGGAGTGTGGCTCTGGGCGGCCTAGGGTGGGGTGAGGCTGGGCGCTGCAGAGGAAGAGCAGCTCGCCCTGTCTCTCCCCTTAGCCCTCCCCACAGTGGTTTCACATCAAGTACTGATGGGCCAACATTGCTTAATTCATGTTTATCTCAAGAAGGTGGCCTGGGACTTTTCGGTTTATAGGAGCTTAGATGGGGGGGGGCGCTCCCAGCTGGTGAAGGTCTCTGACAGGTGGTTCTCAGGGTCTTTGAGCAGGATGCTGCGGAATGCTGTTTGTCTCTGCTCCATGGCCCCCTGCCCCTTGGCTGAAGACAGGGCAGGGGGAGGGCTCGTTCTGGGCCCCGGGACGTGTCTGGGCTCTAGTGCAGCTTAGGACCCGATCCTTATCCTGGTGTCTCAGGTTTACCCTGGGTCCGCGGTTGTGGCAGAGGGGGTCCTCAGGGCAGCTCTGTTCTCTATTAGCTGAGGCGCTGAGCTCCGAAAGGCCCCTGGTGGGTTTGTTTCTGTACCTGTAGGGCCAGGGCTGGGAATGGTGCTGCTGGCTGTGGGTGGGGAGAGGGGCAGGGGGCCTCAGAGGCCCCTTCAAGCCCTGGCCTTAGCCCTGAGGTTTAGTGAGGACGGTCATGGTCCCCCTACCCCAGGGCTGACCCCTACCCCAGGGCTGACCACAGCTGAGTCCTGGTGGTGCAGGTAACCTACACAGATGCCTGGTGTTACCACGACCCCGTTGCACAGGTGAGAAGACAGAGGCCAGAGTGGTTGAGTCTCAAGAATTAAACCAGGTATGATGGACTCTGTATTGAGGCTTTTCTAGCCCACAGTAGCAACAAGTCCTGCTGTTTCAGGGTGAGGCGTGGACACCAAAGCCTTAGACTGAAGGGGAGAAAGCTCTCCCAGCACCTTGGAGCGGCCCCACACCTCAGCCCTGGGGACTGGACTGACCCTGCTGGGCCACCGTGGGCACCAGATGCTCCTGGCGACCAAGGTAAGGTGGCCGTCCTGGCCCTGAAGAGCCCCTTCCAGTCTCCCTTCTCCCCGCAACCTGTGTCTGGACAGGGTCCTGCCTGCTCAGCAGCCCCCTCGGTCCTGCACCCAATCCCCCCAAGCACCCACGCTCCCTGGAGGGCTCTGGGGGGTGAATCTCACACGTGCAGCTCGTCCCTCTCCCCCCCCCGTCATTTCCACCAGCCCACAAATGCACACCGGGATTGCCTGAGTTCCGGCAACACAAGCATGTCCCCTCCGCACACTCCGTCTCTCCTGCTCACTCAGCTCCGTGGGCCCGTCTCTGCCCTTGGTCTCTCCACAGCCAGGATGTGCACCCCCGCTGCCTGGCCCGCAGCCGTCTCCAGGGCTCCCCTTTGGTGTCCCAAAGCCATCTGGGGTCAGGGTGCTCAGAGTGGGCCAGGGCAGGTTCCCCCATCCAGCCTGTGCTTCCAGCCCTCCTCACGTTTGACCTCCTCAAAAGGTCACTTCTAAGTTCGCAGCCCGGCAGTTGGATCCTACCCTTCGCTAAATAGAAGCCACCTGGTTGGGTCCCTGTTGCTCTGAGAGGAAATCCTGGCCCTGACCTGGAACCACTTGGGGAGAAGCACCGTGCTGGGCTTGGGCCCCAGCACCCCCAATAAAGTCGGCCACTGTCATCCTGTGATCGTGTCCCCACCTTCGTGAGATGCGTCGTGCTCGAGGCCACCCCCCCCCCCCGGTCCTCAGAAGGCTGTCTGTGCCACTCAGGGGTGGTGGTGCCCTCGGGACAGGCTGGGTGACCCCAGACCCCTTGGTTCAGCATGGATGGCAGGAGTGCAGCAGAGTAAACCCTACTTGGCAGTGACACTCTGACTCCGAGAGCATCCCAGCAGGGAGTGAGCGACGGGGCTCTTTCACCCCAGGTGTGCTCACGGGGTGGTTGTGCCCCCAGGGGACGCTTGGCCATATCTAGTGACACGTGTAGACGCGGCCCTGGCATCTGCCGGGGTGGGAGCCGGGCTGCTGCTCAGCCTCCCACCGTGGGCATGTAGCCCGCTCTGCTCGAAAGCTGCAGCTGGGCCTGGCTCCCCGCCCAGCTGGTGGGGTGAGCGCACGTGGGGCCCGCCCCCGTGCCCACACTCCTCGGCTGCAGCACGGCTTGCTCTGCTCAGATCCCAGTGGTAACCCACCGTTGTGGGTCCACGGAGCCCAGGTGGCACGGGTCATGTACTCACTGTTGATGACCGCTGTGGCCAGGATGGACGCCATGCCGGCCTGCTGGGGCAGGAGCTGGATGTCTGCATGTGCGGGGGCTGGGCACTCGGGTTCTGCCGGCTCCTCCTTCACAGGGTGGCTCGGGGTGCCCTGGGGCTCGGCCGCCGTGAGCAGCACGCTCAGCAGTCCGCCCGCGGGCACCGGCTTGGTGAGTCTGCACCAGAGGGCTTCATCTGTGGGGGCAAAATCCTTGGTGGCGGGAGGGCCACGGGCGACTCACCCTCCCATCCCGAGCCCCTCCCCACGGCCCCCTCCTGGAGACCAGGGTTCGGAAGTCTGAGGTGGGGGATGGAAACCAGGCCCTGGTCAGGGGGTGACCGGCTGGCTCCCTGGGCCTGCCCGCTCCCACCTAGTGGGAGGGCCCTGAAGACGCACGGCTGCCTGGAAGAAGGGTGGCCTGAGGGACAGGCAGCAGGGCCCTGGACCAGGGGCCGGGAGCTGCCAGGCAGGCGCTCCCGCTTCTCACAGCTCCACCAGGAGCCACCGTTCCCGCGGTAGCCAGCAGGGGGCGGCCTCTGCCAGCCACCCAGGCACCCGCCTGCTCACCTCCTGCATCCTGCTTGAGGCCACCAGGAACCCTACACCAGAGGCGCAGTCCTGTCCCCCACCCCAACCTCGCGTCCATCAGCTCTGTGAGGACCTTGTCCTGCCTGGCGGACAGTGGCCAGAGCGCTGCTGACCGGGGCGGGAGGGGCAGGCCAAGCAGCACTAACTGGACTGCTTCCTGGCTGGGTGTACAAACCCAGGGCTGACGGCACCTCCAAGCACCCCTTGATGGGTCGGGGGCTGGGGTCCTCCCCCACCCATGGAGGGGGACAGAGGGGTGAAGAGTGGCCCAAGTTCCCAGACGCTGGGCTCAGCACCTGCGCTGGACCTCCATCATGCCACGGAGGCTCCCATGTGGGGACAGAGCTGGAGGGAGGGGCTGCCCACAAGGCCCACTGGGCTGGGCACATGCCGCCAGGCCTGCCCCTGACGGCCTCTGGCTCTCTCCTGAAATGAGAGCTGCCCGCAGGACAGGGCTTTGCCTCCTCTGGGAGCATTCAGCTGAATGTGCTGCGTGCAGGGAGGCGACGTGGCCGTGGCACCCCTCCCCCCAGAACATTCCAGCAAAACAGAGCCCCCCACTGGGGAATGAGGCCCTCTCCTGTGGTTGCTGGGCATACACCCTCCCGACGGCCACGCTGGCTGGACAGACCTAGTGTGGCTGTAGAAATTGTCACGATTCTGTGCTGGCATCATCCCCGTGGGGACGGAGGGGCTCTCCGGTTGTCACACACCGAGAAGACGGTGTCACCCTTCGCTTAGGGGTCAAACCTCCCAGGCAGGCGGGACCGTGGCCTTGGCGATGGAAGCCCCTGCCTCACGTCTGAGTGGCCTGAGCTCTCTGAACTGAGCAATAGGGGAGGGGGATGCTCCCCCTCCTCCCTCCCGGGCCACACCTTCTAGAAGGTGCAGGGAGGCAGGCCCAGAAACAGAGGCCTGAGAAGGCCAGGGAACGTGGCCCCAGCCCCACGAGGCTGGGTCTGAACATGGCCCTCCTGCTCTTCCCCAGGACGAGCCAGACTACATAGGACTATGGTCTAGCTGGTACTCTGGCCCACCTGGCCTGGGATTCTCTGCTGACCCTGGCGGTCTCCCAGAGGCCCAGGAAAAGCCAGCAGTGCCCCGGGCCCCCGAGACCCCAGGGCTGACCTCTTCAACCAGGGTGCCCCGAGGCCTGGCCCTAGCTCGCCTACTCTGCTTAGCCCGGCAGGCTGCTTTCCCTTTAAGGGCCAGCCCAGGGCCAGCTGAGTGGTCCCCACCTGCCGGAAGGCCGCGAGGGAAGCGCCATGATACCAACCCTTCCTGTAGATCTCCGCGTTGGCTTCGGCCTCGGTCAGGGCCTGTGGCAGCGACGTCAGCCAGCAGGGCTGGTCCTCCAGCAGCAGCGTCAGGGCGGGGCCCTGGGGGAGGGGGGGGAGGAGGGGGCTCATCAAGGACCCGGCACGGGAAGACGCTGGCTCAGGGTCTCGTGTGGCACCCAGGGAGGAGCCCGTGACCCCCTGGCAGGGAGGCCAGGCTGCAGCCTGCTGCCCCTAACTGGGCGCTGTGTGGCCAACGAGCAGGCAGCTGGCACCTTCCATGCGCGGGGCATTGGGCTCTCTTGGAAACTGAGGCCCAGGGAGCAGCGGAGCCGGGATTCGTGCCCACATCTGTGTTCTCGCCCTGCCTCCCTGCTGTGGCAGGCTGCTGGGTGCTACGGGGCAGCCCGTGGGGCACAAGGGCCAGACCGAGCACAGGTTCCCTCCCACACAGGCCCCCAAAGTGAGCTCCCAGAGCTGAGGCTGAGAGTGGCCTTGAGGAGATGGTGTCTCCCCAGAGAGGGGCTTCTAGGTCCTCCCCAAGGTTGGGGGGTGGTTCCCTGCCTGCTACAGGGCATGGCAGGCCCACCTCTGTCCCATCCACCCTGAGGCCAGCCCACGGCAGACACATCCTCCTGGGCCCAGTAGCTGAGGCCCCTAGGCAGCAACATGACCCCATGCCAAGGATGGCTTGGCCTCCCTGTGGCTCCCAGAGACTGACATCCGTGTGTGGGGTTAGGGCGGAGGGGGAGAGGGGGCAAATGGGGGCGTGGCTCACGCCAGCACCACCTCACCCATCCACCTCCTCTCCCTGGCTCTGTCTGCAAGCTGGGCCTTTGCAGTGCCTGGAAGGCAAGAGTGCTCTGGGCTCAGCCCATGAGGCTGCTGCTGGGGGCCTGCAGAGTGGGGCTCCCTGATTTCTGACACCCAGGGCCACCCCAGCAGGAGAGGAAGCACACAGAGCCTGGTGCCGGGGCGGGAGGGCAGCCCGCGGCCCCGCTCTGCGGCCTGGCCCCTGGTCAGACATTGAGACCAGGCACAGGTCTGTGGGGGCAGAACCCTGGCCTGGCTTTGCCCTAGGAGGTTGGGGTGACCCCTGCCACATCGGGCCCTCAGCCCCAGTGCCAGGCCTGGGATCCAGGCCGGCTGCTCCGACCAGGGGTGCCCAAGCTCTGCCACCAGGCACAGTACGCACCCACTTTGGAGTACTTTTGTTTTATGCAAATAAGTGCGTTTTATTCAGAAATGGTGCATGGGGACCTTGCGTCGGAGAACCAGTATCACCTGGAAACGCTGCCACCTAGACTGGGTGGCTGTGTGCACCCCAGGGGCCCATGCAGCCGCCGGCCGGGACACCACCATGGTGGGACATGATGGTGTGTGAGATGTCCTCCGATTCTGGGTACCTCCCTGCCAGGTCCAAGCCCGGGTGCTTCCCTGGGCTTTCCCTCCTGCCCATGGACAACACAGGCTCCAGAGCCGGGCTTTGGGGTCCAGGCCAGGCGTGGCCTCCCCTGCTGTGACCTTGAGCTGAGTACCACCCTGCAATCCGAGGTTAGCCCTCTGTCCACTCTTTCTGCTCGTCCCTACCCTGCGGCGGGCTCAGGCCCACGAGCCAAGCGCTCCTGGGGAAACCCCTAACAAGGTTGGGGCAGTGTGGCCAGTGGGGTGGCCGTGGAAGGGGCAAGTGGCGACTAGTGGCCAGGGGGGCGAGCTCTAGCCGTGGGAGCAGAAGCGGCCTGCACCCATGCCTGCCCTCTCTGCAAATGGGCACTGCCCCTTGTGCTCGGAGCTGTGACCCAACCCACGTGCTTGTCGCAGGCCTGCCATCGCCTTGCTACCTGCTCCTGGTGGTGGGGCTGGGTGGTCGAGGCCTCTCTGCCACTCAGCCCCTCCTAGGGCACTGGAAGCATCGATCTGCGTGAAGCCCTCCCTTCCAGCCGTGCCCACCTGTGCGCAACCAGCACACAGAAAACAGGAGCCCCCCTGCCTCCTTGCTTTCACCTTCCCTTCGACCGGAAGGACACAGCAGGTGAGGACTGCACCTTGGATGCAGAAGGCTGGGGTCCACTGGGGCCCCAGGTCAGCAACTGCCACAGGTCAACTCGGAGAGAGCATCTCCGCCACGACAGGCAAACCCTGCTTTTCGCAGACACCTGGTGATCCCACAGCTGGGGGTCCCACCGGCTCAAAGGCTTCTGCTGGGGCCACAGTTGGGGGGGAGGGGGCACAGCGGCCGGGCGGGGTTGCCACCGTGGCAGGTGACCGGTGGCCCCCACGTCCAGCTGCACTGACCTGGACAGCAGCTTGCAGCAAGGCGGGGCCGGGCCTCCTGAGTCTCTAATGAATATTAATGAGCAGAGGAGGGTGAAAAAAATTAATCTGCCTGATCCTCCGATTGGCGCTGTGGTAACGATATGAAATCTAATTATTCGTCCCAATATTTCTAACCCTCAAACTGAGACTGACAGCCTCCCGGTAGGTTTAATGCTTATCACTCGCAGGAGCTGCATGCTCCCAGCATGATAAAAACGCGCACGGCTTTGCTGACGCTGCAGAACCCCTCGTTCTCCGTGTACTGCCTGCGAGCGAAGGCGGCAGCGCTGCGGTCCCGCCAGGGCCCAGCACCTGCGTGGCGGCGGTGGGCAGGCTGGGAGGATGGGGGCAGGAGCAGAACGGGCCAGGAGATCTGGGGCCGCCCGACTCGGCCTGTGATCCCTTGATGCCGGGGCATGGCCCCCCCCACTTGAATGGGGGCGGCTGGGGACATGACCTTCCATGGCCTCTCTCCCAGGCCTGCGCTTTGGTCCTAGGGGTGTGGGGCCGCCACCCGGGGAGGGTCTGACAGGTTTTTCTCTCCTTCTGCTGCAACCCCCCCCAGTTCTGAGCAGCCCAGGAACAGAAGCCCCTTTCTCTGGTGGCTGAAGGCATTGGGCCGAGGCAGGCCCTCTTCCCAGCCGACGCTGCGCTGCCCGTACGCAGGGACGTGGGGTGTAAGCCTGGGAGGGGCTATGTATCGCTTCCCCGCCTGGCCTGTGCTGCCGGCCACCTTCCCTCCACAGGCACCCCCGGGTCCCATCTGGGTCCAGCTCACCCTGGACAGGCCGTGTCCAGGTTCAGGAAGAAGCCTCTCCACCCACCCAGGCTGCAGCCCCTTGGGGTCGTGCCTGTTCCTCCTGGCTCCAGGATGGCCCCACCTGGCCCTGAGATAATGGGCGGCCACTTGAAGTTCTCTGGGTGCATCTGAGACCACTCCTTGTTTCCCCGAACAAAGAGGTCAGTGTCTGGATTCTATGCCTGCCGATAACCATCAGAAACTCTATCTCTGCACCATCCGCTGTGACTTTATCTGAGGCTGATCCCAAACCTTGCGGGCCATCTCATGAAACAGCATCAAGGGGACAGGGAGGTAGGGGCCCCATTCAGGCAGGGGAAGGGGGTGGCCCAGCCCAGCGAGCCAGACCGCCCTGCAGAAGGTCAGTGGGGCTGCCCAAGCCTCCTCCGGGCCACTGTGGGGCAAGCTCATGGGAGGTCAGGGCTGGGGCAGGGCCCCCACCCACCTCCTTCCTTCAGCTCATCCAGAGAAGGCATGTCCCTGTCCTGCTCACCCTCCCAGAGGCAACTGACTTTCTGTCCTCGGCTCCTCCTCTCCCCCAGACCCTGCAAAAAACCTACTTCACAGATGAGGTTTGAGGCCCACAGAACTGAGTGATGCCCAGGGCCACAGCAGGTGCATGTGTGTACACAGGACTAGAACTGGGGTCTACATGATCTTCGCTTCCTTCGATCCACTCATCCATCCATCTACCATCCACTCATCCCTCCACCACCTACCCACCCACCCACCCATCTATTCATCCATCCACCCATCCATCCATCCCTCCCCTGCCTCCATCCATCTACCATCCATTCACCCCTCCACCACCTACCCATCTATTCATCCATCCACCCACCATCCATCCATCCATCTATCCATCCACCTACCATCCATTTACCACCCATCCATCCACCATCCATCCATCCATCCACCATCCATCATCTACCATCCATCCATCCATCCATCCTCCCTCCCCTCCCTTCCTCCATCTACCATCCATTCACTCCTCTACCACCTACCCACCCACCCACCCATCCATCCATTCATTTGCCCCTTCACCCACCTATCCTTAACTTCCTGCCTCCACCCATCCATCTGTTCATTTGTTGAACAGTCCCCCAGAGCCTGGTGTGTGCCTGGTGTGGGGGGACCATGAACAGAACATGCTGTCCTGATCTCCCAGTGTGGATGCTGGAGTGGGGAGGCTGATAAGAAACAACCAATGGAGGCAGAACGTGCTAGAGACACAGGCTGAGAAGAGCATGAAGTGTGGTGGGGGTGATGTGGGGAGCTGTGTGGGCAGCAGGGATGTGGGCCAAGTGGCCCCCAGCCCTATTCCTCGGGTGGCCCTTGGGCTCAGGGAGGGAGCCAGCTGTAAGGGTGGGTCTGGTGCCCATGGCTGCCCTGGCCCCAGTGTGGCGGGAGGTGTCCCAGGGTCCCTCAGACCAGGCGGTTCCTCCTCCTGGGCCTCCAGGAGGCCGGTCTGATTTGACCCTTTGCACCCACAGCGTCTCCCAGACCCTGCTCCTACAACTGCAGGTGGAGAGGCTGAGGTGTGGGGGGGAAGGGAGTCAGAGACCCAGAAAGGCCAATGGCAGGCCTCCTGTCCAGAGGACGTCCACCTCAGAGCGCCCCACACTGCCTTCCTCACCACCCTGGTACTCCAGCCAAGCCTGGACCTGACCATCTCCTCAGGGGCTGCTCTGTGGAGGGTCAGAGGCCAACCTGGGCTGGACCCTGGCTCTGCTGCTTGCTAGCTCTGTGGAGCAGGCTGAATGTGCCCCCAAAGACATGTCTACCCAGAGCCTGTGGACACAGCCTTATTTGGAAAAAGGTCTTAGCAGATGTGATTAAATTAGGGACAATCCAGATGACATCCTTCTAGATTATCCAGTGTCCTAAATCCAGTGCCGAGTGTCCTTATAAGAGCAAAGAGGCAGAGGTGGGTGGCCCTGCTGGGAGGCTGGGCCCTGCTGGGAGGCTGGGCTCTGCTAGGCAATGACCCCTGGTGCCAGCCTCAAGGCTTCTTGCACAAGGGCTGCTCAGAGCCCATGGGGCCCTGAGGGCCCTGGCCCCACTGCCATCTCCAGCTGAGGGATGGGGGAGACCCACCCAAGGTCCCTCTATGCCGATCCCTGCATGAAGATGCATGACAGGGCAGGGCTCAGCGGGCCTCATTGCAACCACTCTGGAAGGGGCTTCTCCCCGTTGGACCTGCTGTCCTCCTGGGCAGCCATGGCCCCCGCTGCGAGGTCTCACTGATGTCAAGGTGGTCTCATGGCCATAGTGGGTAAGCCCTGGGGGGACTACTGGACAGATGGGTCGAGCCACTGTGGGCCAGGCTCGGCATGCGAGTTTGCCCATTCATTTGTTCGCTCATCTGCTCATTCATCCATCCACCCACCCACCTATCTATCCATCCATCCATCTGTCTGTCCGTCCGTCCATCCACTGATACATTCATCCACCTGTCCCTCCATCTGTATGTACATCCATCCATCCATCCATCCGTCCCCATCCACCCATCCATCTGCCATCCATTCATTTATCCATCCACCCATCCACCCATCCATCCCACCCACCCACCCAACCATTCTGAACACTTTTTTGGTATATGACTACAAATTTTAGAGTTGGCTGGGTTTCCAAATCCTGGGAAGGGGAAGCCACAGCTGGATCAGGGAGGGACCTACCCAAGGTCACACAGCATGTTGGTGCAGGAACCACTCTCGACCCGACCCCGGCCAGGCTCTGTGCACTTGCTGTGTATTTCCTGGGGCTCCCACCCCCAAAAGTCGTGTGTGTGTGTGTGGGGGGGAGGACTGTGAGAGGAGCCCTCCATTCCCCCTCCCATCTGCAAGTAGCCCAGGGGCTAAGGAAACCAGCAGGGAAGGGTTGCCACACTGTATCAGAGCCCCTCTCTCTCCTTCCTCTCCAAACAGCTAAGACAAACTGCCTGGCGGCTGATACGACGATCTGGGGCGGGAGGTGCATGGGGGAGAGAACTGGGACCCATCAGCTGAGCTCGATAAGGGGCTCGCTGAAATGTTAGCAAAAATATTTAGACAATAAATGAAGTATCGGAAAGGCGCACGTATCTTTAAGAAATCAATCATCGTGTACGGTGTGTCTGGACACTCGGCGCCAAGGCGCAGATAGCGCCTGCTGGGGAGATAAGGGTTAATCAAGGATTTAATTCTGTAGGAGATAAAGCTGCGGGGAAGAGCCCGAGAGGCTCCTTCCTCCCTCAGCTCCTCGGCAAGAGCCTCAAAGGCCACTGGCTTCCCTGGCGCTGGTCCCTCACTCCCCGTGGACATTATCTCTCCGCCTGGAGAGCGTCTCCAACCTTGTGCCAAGTCTCCCCAGGCTGACCTGCGCCCTGGGCCCAAGGAGGACAAAACCCTCAGAGAGGAGGGCAGGGTGGGGACGTGGCCAGGACTCTGGGGCCAGCTCAGCCCTGTCCTTACAGAGCCCGCAGGAGTCTCAGCTTGAGCAGACGTGGGTTGCAGTTCTCCCTCTGCTATTTGATCCTGGTGAGTTTACCAAGTCACTTAACCTGCTGGAGACTCAGTTTCCTCATCTGTAAAATGGGGAGTATGCCTCACAATGGTGTGGCCGGGGAAGACCAGGGCCTGGGCGTAAGGATGGGCGCACCTCGGTGTGTGCAGTGAGCGACACCTGTCTGTCCTGGAGGGACTGACTGTCTCCAGAGTGGGGGAGCAGAGGAGAGAGGTGCAGGCCACATGCAGCTGCACCCCTTTGTCCTGTCACTGCTTATGAGAATTAGGAGCCAGGGAGCTCCCAGCCCACATACTCCTCCTTCCAGCCATGAACTGCCCCTCAACAGCCCACCCTTTGAAAAGAGAACTGCTGCTTGCATGCCTCCAGTGATGGGGAGCTCATTGCCTCAAGAGACCGCCCTGAACACCAGGGTCTCCATTCCCGCAGCGGAGCCAAAGTCTGCCTCGTGGTTGCCACTGTTTTCTCCCTGCCTGGGCCATGGGACCAGAGGGTCAGCCGTCCTGCAGGGTGGTGGTAAGCTGCCCTGGGAGGCGGGTGTGCCATCAGCTGCCCCACTTCGCAGACCGGCTACAGCTCTGCCCGCCCACCCTCTCCTCTGCAGGGATGCTGGAGGGTCTGCAGGCTCAGGCCCCAGGGACCCTTCAGGGCCTCCCTGTGTCCCCACTGAGGCCCCACAGGCTCAGGAAGCAGAAGCTCAAGGAGCTCAGGAACCTGCCTGGGAGCAAAACTGCCATGAGGGAGGAAGCCACGGGCTCGGGACCCTGCGCCACAGGGATGGCCTGGTCACGGGCTGGGAGCCCTCGGTCCTGGGCCAGCCTCCCGCTGAGTGGCTGAGGCCTGCACGTGCTCCCCTGAGCCTGGGCGCTCTGCTGTGATGGGCGGTGTGGATGGCCCAGGGGGCCTCAGCCGGGCTGCATGTTTAGACCCTGGGAGACTGCCCAGATCGCCGGAGGCCCAGGCCCCAGCCGAGAGATTCTGACTCCGGTGGGCGCTGTGAACGGCGGTCTGAGGGTCTGCAGCTGGGGACTCCTCCTGCAGCTCCCCACCAGCCCTGTGGACACTGTGCAGCCCGAGTTCCTGCACCCTGGTTTCTGTGGCTGAGAAATGGGGGCTCTGTCGGGCTGGAGCCGGATGGGGCTGTCAGGGCAGCATGAGGCCTCTAGGTGTGGGCGGACCCTTCCCTGCAGCCCTGACACTGCCTGCTGACCACACGGAGGCTGACCAGAGGCCCACACCTGGGGCCTGAGGACCAGGAGGCCCAGCACTGCGGGGCACCCGCCAGCCAGGGTGCACCTGGATCAAGTCGCACCTGAATGCAACATCGGGAATCAAAAAGGCCCCAGGCCGTGGCTGTGCCTGCACGTCTGGGGTGCCTGAGCCCGGGCTTGAGGGGACCTACTCCGGGTGCCTCCTGGCCTTTCAAGCGAGTGGCAGCAGGGCTAGGAGAGGTTTCTTGAATACACGTCACGGTCAGGTCCCTCCTGGTTCCGGTCCTACCCCACGCTGCCCATTTAGCTGCCTGGTTTCCCATACATCAGTGCCCTATCTTCCCCAAAATGTATTTTCAAAGGGGCCTTTGTACCCATGCGAGAGGACGCAGACCGACTTGCCGTAAACAGAAGGCAGTCCACAAGTAACCCCGAAGCGAGTGACGCCCTGGCGGCGGCGACTAGTGGGAGGGCGCTGCCCGGGTGGGCTTCTTACTGACACGGGCAGGCCAGAAGTGCTGGGGAGGTGAAGACCCTGTGGCACCTGAAGGACCCACAGGGACGAACTGAACCTTAGCCTCTGCTGCAGCGGTCCCCCAGCTCCCGGAAAACTGCCTCGCTTGCCCCTGTCCACGAAGGCCAGGTCCAGCCTCCCACTTCACACACCTGTTTCTTTCTCTGTCTTGCCAGCTTCTACTCATCCATTAAGGGCCTCTTCCAAAAAGCCCTTCCCATGTCACCGCCTCCAGGAAGGCTTCCATGTGCTTCCAGGCAGTCAACTCCTTCCTGCCGTCCTGGTCCCAACACCTCAGGCCCCCCTCTCCCGACACACTGCACACAGAGGGGCAGGCGCTCCTGGGCTGGAGCATAACCCGGCTTGGCTCCAGGGGTGGAGGGGGTCTGTGCCCTGGGCCAGCCTGTGCCCTGGCTGCGGCCCTGCGGCTGGTGGGGGGGTTGCCGGGGGTGGGGCTCCTTACCGGTTCCACTTGCCCAGGGGACAAGGCTCTGCTCTGGACGTTCCCGCGGAATGGGCCCCAGGATAGGCCCTCAGTGAGGCTGCGTCGAGCCCGCACGCACCTCTGCCCGTCCTGCAGCAGCAGCTCCAGCTCGTCTGTGGGGAGAAACATCGGGGGTGTGAGGCGTGCCCCTTGGCGGCGACCGCCCAGCCCCGCCGCCTGCCTGGCACAGTCCAGCTCGGCAGCTCCATCCCCGGCGGGGATGGGGGTGCCCTGGGGGCCTGAGTTATGGGGACGGCGGCCAGTGTGTGGTTCTGGGAGCCGGACCGGCCCCTGCAGCAAGCCCTTGTCTGGGGGACATCAGCAGGGACAGGACGGGGTGTCCATGGCTGGATTTGAGCCGGTAGGACCATGGCTGCTCCGTGAGGACATGTGTCTCCTGTAGCACCTGCCCGTGCCCAGGATGCACGCGTGGAGCTGGGTCAACCCCGCAGCTTACGTTAGGGGGGCACACGGTGGAGGGTGAGGATGTCGATGAGGCTTGCCTCCTGGTCTCCGCACAGTCCTCCCAGCCCCTCCCCACCAGCCTGAGCCCCCCACATCCACACAGCAAGCCTGTGGCGGAGGCTGTGGAAATGCTGGGCCCTGATTTCCCCATCTCTAAGACTTCCTGCCTCCTTGGGCTGCACGAGGCTTGAATGCGTTAATCCACCAACACGCTTAGCACAGTTCAGAGGGGAAACCAAGTCAAAGAGCCATGCACCTCCCCATGGCCCTCGGCGAAGCCAGAATCTGCCCCTGGGTGGTCCTGATGTTGGCTCTGTTCACTCCCTGCAGATCGGCAGGGACGGGGACTGTCCCCAGAATGCTGCTGCCCCCACCCACCCTCCTAGGACCGCCACTCACTTTCTGGAAAGGTCTGGGCCCTGAGTCTTCCTGCCTCTCTGCATGGCCTCTCCTAGCTCAGGGTGTAAGACGCTCGGGGGCTGCGGCCACCTGTGCCATAGTGGGGGGCGGGGCTGCAAACTCTCCAGGCGCCGACAGCTCCCATGGCCTAGGCGGTGGCCCCCGTGGCACGTGTTGGAGGGCCACCACAGGATGTGGTCGCATTTCTACAGACAGATGGGCCTCTGCTGTGAATCCCTGAGAATGTCATTCTCCCCAGGGCGGGACGTGGGGTCGGACAGGGTCTGCATTCAGGCTCCCGGGTTCAGCCCAGCCTCACTGCACGGTCCACAGGACCTTCTACAGTGGGCTGAATGATGGCGCCCAGAAGATACCTCCACCTAAGAACTTGTGAATGTGTACTTATTTGGAAAAAGGGTCTTTGCAGATGTAATCAAGTAAGGGTGGGACCCTAAATCCAATGACAGATGTCCTTATAAAAGACACACAGAAGAGACAGAGAAGGCGGCCACGTGAAGACAGGCAGAGACCAGAGTGAGGGGGTCAAGAGGAAGCCGCACTGTAGCCCCTGGAGCTGGGGAGACAGGAAGGACCCTCCCTCCAGAGCCTCCAGAGGGAGCGCGGCCTAGCGCTCCAGCGTGGAGAGAACAGATTTCTGATGTGTTAAGACCCCAAGGTTGTGTGTCGGGGGCACCCTGGGAGATTCACACCGGGCATGTCACCTGCTCTGCCTGAGCCTCGTGGGACAAGGGGACGCGGTGGTCACGCCCTCAGAGGGCGGTCCCTTCCCTGATCCCACGCCCTCTGCCCAGGAAGGCTGGGCCACCTTGTACCTTGGGTGCCATCCGGGCTGCCTGGGCCCACGGAGGCCTCACGTGGCCTGGCCTGGTCCCCAAGCGCTGTGGCGGCAGCCCCACTTCCTGGAGCCCCGATCGGGCAGGCTGTGGCCTTAATGGGCCCGATTATCAGATAACTGCCGGCCTAATGGCAGAGATAAGGTGTAAATACGCCAGGAGGCCCAGCTAAAACGTTCTAACTGGGTCCTTGTCTTCCCAGGGGCAGATAAGATGGCAGGGGACCAGGTCAAGCCTGAGGAGGCCGGCGCCCCTTTATCAGCCCCCCAGAGAGGGGGGCAGAGACTGGCTCTGTCACTTTGCAGCTTGCTCATGAGGGGCCATGTCCCTTGCCAGCCCAACCAGGGCACCTGGGCCCCAGCCCAGGGCGCTGCCCACGGGCCACCCCCTCCCCGGCCCCGCAGGTCCCATCCTCGGGGATGGGAGTGTCACCCACCCCTGCTCCAGTGGTCTGATGGAGTGGGCCCTCCCTTTACGCCCCCGGTATGGATGAGGACACTGAGGCCTCAAGAGCTCACGTAGCTGGCAGCGGGATGTCAGGGTCTGAACCCAGGCCCCTGGCTCTAGATGCTGACCCAGGGCCCTGGGTGTACGTGGGTCTCTGGTTCCCGCCCAGCTGGCCCTCAGGGGACGGGCATACATGAGGGAGGAAGAGAAGACTGTCTGAAGGCAAGCTTGCTGGGACTCATTTGTCGTCCACCCGTCTGCCAAGCCATCCGAGGCTGGTGGGGAGCTCGTGATGGACTGAGCCTGGGCACCTCCCACCCTGACTCCCCAGCTCATGGCAGGGGGGCGGGGGTCAAGGAGGAACTGTCCAGTGTCCTCATGCTGCAGCCTGCCCCTCTGCGGGCAACCAGAAACCTCAGAGCAATCCGGGCTTGGCTCGCACTTGGGCCTCTGAACAAGGATGGTCGCACGCCTCTCTGGACCGCATTTCTCCTCCTGGGACCACAGACGAGACAGGGCAGGTGACCGGGAGCCCCTCCATTTCCATCTCATTCCCTGTCAGCATCCAGAGCACGTGGAAGGAGCCCATTCTGGCCTCGTCGGGCACGGAGCCCCCATTAGGACACGACACCTTCCACCTGAGGCTGGTGGCCCACCTTCCTGTGGGAGGAGCAACTGGGAATTCAGTGTGTGGGGGGCCGGTGCGGGGGGGTCCCTGAGAGTGGAGGAGGAGTGGGGGCAGCCCTGGGCTGTCTCAGGGCCCCGACCTCGTGGTGATAGAGGGAAGGAGCCGAGCCAGTGTGCCTCCCCATCCTGCCCACGTGGGCACCCACAGGCAAACAGCCACGCTCCCTAATCGGAGCCCCAGGGCCGGTGGGCCGAGCCTGCCAGATAACAGTGTGGCTGGTGTTTCCCACGGCAGCCACTCCATCTTCTGGGTATCATGCATTGCCAGAGGGAGGGCTGGCTCCCGATAAAGGCTGCCATTCTGCAAGCCTGAGGGCAGAACCCACTCAGGCCTGGGAGAGGTGAGGAGGCCAGGGAGCCGAGGAACTTGGGCTAGGGATAGGTCAATGCTCACCACGAAAACCCACCTTTCTGCTTCAGGGAGGCCGGCTCTGAAGGGCTGTGCATTAGGAAGGGCTATGGCAGGTACCTGGCTGGGGGAGGGGAACATGGCTGGATCTCAGCCCCAGCTCACCCAGAGCCCTTGTTACAGTGCACAACTTGGGCAACTGTACATGGTGGCCCTGGTGATGTTCAACATCCATCTACTCAGATAAGCTATTTCTAGCAAACCGTTCCCGTCCAACCTTTCGCACAGTGTAAACAGGGTCAAGTGGTATTGGAGCCTAGTTAGCACCTGCCAGAGACCCTCTCCTAACCAGAAGCAAAATTGCATCAGCAAAGTGGGGTGGGTGGGGCCACCCACTCCTGGCAGGCCTGGGAGCCTCATAAGGGTTCAGCTCAAGGCCAAGAATGAAATAAAAGTATAGATGAGCGAGGGCAAGGGGCGAAGGGGTGGGAGACGTGGAGCTGGCGGGCGGGGACTGACAGGCCGGAAGACACAGTTATTTTTAAACAGCCTCTATAATAGCCAGAGGACCCGTGGTGGCCGAAGAGACAGCTCCCAACCACACACACAGGAAACCTCGGGCCATAAGCACCCCAGCCACACTGCAGGCTCTGTCTCTGGCCTCGGGGCTCAGTGCTCACTCAGTCACAAAACCCTGTGTGGGCACCTGGTACAGGGATGAGGGAGGCATAGCCTCTGCCCTCTATGTCTCCCAGGAAACGTGGGCGGTGGCAGCTGGGAGGGTGGGCCAGTTGGGGTGGGCTTCCAGGTGGAGGTGTCCTTTTCCTGGGCAGCCTCCTGTGATCCGGCTACTTTCTCTTCCCAGCTCCAGCCCGGTCCTGGCCTCCATCCCCGTGGTGAGCTACGGGGGTGATGCCACCTGCCCTGAGAACGCATGATCCCAACACGCTTCCTGGCCCCATTCATGGAGCCTTAGCCACGCGCCTGGCACAGTTTGCAGGGGTGCCTCCCTGCCCCGCTGAGTTCTCCCCCATGTACAGAGGAGGACGCTGAAGCTCAGGGAGGTTAAGCTACGGGCACAAGACCCGCGACGGGGAGGTGAGAGGTGAACCAGAGCCCCAGCCACGCTCACGGCCAGGTCCCCGACACCCTTTTCTGGGCTGATGCAGAAGGTGGCAGAGCGACGGGGATGCCTCTGGAAGGGAGGCGGGTGTGCGCGGCAGGCTGACTCCTGCTGTCCTCAGTTTCCCGTTCTGTACTGGTCTCCTCGGGGAGGGGGCAGGCCCCCATGGGGGTCAGGCTATCACTACAGACACCGCATCAGGGCAAGGACTAATTTATTCTGGCAAACAACCCCACACACATTATTTCCAGAGCAAACACACCGCAGCGGGATTCAATTTCGCCCCCCAAGCGTCTGTGAGGAACCAGACGAGAGAATTCAGCCCTTGCATATTTATATGATTTAAATGTGTTTGGGTCTCAAAGCCCTCTGACAGCGTCCCAAGGGGACAAAGGAGGCAGGGCTGAATGTTGCCCCTTCTGGGGTCCCGACAGAGGGGGTGGCCGGGTGAGAGACCTGGGGTCTGGAATCAGCAGGCCACGGCCGGGTCCCGCCTCTGCCCAGTGCCCGCTGGCCTCAGTTTACAAGCTGGGCCGGTAGCTCTGTGGGTAAAGGCGAGCGTGTCAGTCTGAGGCCAGCACTGCTCTTCCTCCCTGGGCTGTGTCCCGGGTCGTGGGGCCCAGCCCAGGGTGGCCACTGAGCCACGGCCCCTGGCCCAGCTCTGCCTCGTGCCCTGCAGAGCCCTTGGGGGCCAACCTCCACAGTGCGCACAGTGAGCCAGTGAGGAGGCGGCTCTGGTCTGCAGGGGCGGCCCAGCGAGCTCGAGGCTCCATGGCAGGGGTGCAGCCA